CCTGTGAAGGCTTCCTGACAGATGGGCTGGCTGCCCTCAGATCTTACACTCTCTATTTTACACCGCTCGCACTGGGTGATGGGAAGAAGCGCAAGGCGCTGCAGAGCCGGTTTCAGAAACACCGCTGAACAGGACACAGAATCACCATCCGGCTTATGATAATCTGAATGGGACAGGGATGCTGAAATACCAGGCAGCTATTTGCTTTGCTTTGCAAGAAAAGTCCTGTTGAAGTTTACTTTCCCATCTCCGTAATGGCGGGCAGAAGAGGGCACTGGGGGCTCGCTGGGAAGCACGCGTCTTTCTCCGCTTACTACAGAAGGTATAAAAATGACTGTAGGGTCTTTCTACCACCACATCTCGAGACTTGAAAACTGCTCAGTACCGGCTCTCGCTGCCAGTGGGGATATTGCTAAAAACTCCGCTTGAGGGCAGCCCAGCGCCGGCCGTTGCCGCTTTCTGCCCGGCGACTGCCGCCTCTGAGCAGTACGCAGACTTCTTTCTCCCTCAGAAGCACACCGGCTGTCACTGCCTGGCATGCACAAGTATTTGCTTATAACTTGTTTTATTTCAGCCTCACAAAATAAACCCCGCTTTACAAATCAGTTGCAAAGCACCGTCATTCATGAAGCATTAGCATCACTCCGGACCTGCTCTGAAAAAGCCGGTTAGCTCTTGTTATGCTTCAGATTTAGTTATCGTCGGGCTCTTTTCCCCTCCTCCCCAAGCTGAATCTGCAAGCCTCTGTGGTTTCACCTTTTGAAACAACCTGAAAGTTTCTGTCTTGATGTTTCTAGACCCCCAGTGCTGGCGGGGGGGGCGGGGGGCGTTGGTTGCTCTTGGGGGTGGTTGCAGGCTGGTTGTTAGCACCAACACAACCAAAAACATCTCTGGCCACTCAGCACTGGAGGGGTTTTTACCTCTAAGAGTCAAGCTTAGAGGTCTTAAGAAGGGTACAAGGGGGAGTAGCTTGCAGCAGTAGGATGAGTTACTCAGATTCATTCCCTTATACTGCTGATCAGGATACACACGCGTGTCAACATATTGAATGGCATCATGTAACACTTTATCAACTCAAGTCCCCATGGTAAACTGAAAGAACATAAATGACTCAAAATAAATTCCTCCAATTTTAGGCAAAGCGTTGCTTTATTTGTATTTTTGAGACCAGAGAAACTGCCTGAGGGGTTAAATCCAGAGAGGAAAGGGATCACACTCACCTGGCAGATGATATTGCCCTGGTCTCTTGAAGCAGTGCTGGGTACCATGGGATCAATACTTGATTTTGTTTGATCTAAAAAGTTCACTCCAGCTGAAAGGAGCCGTCAGACGAAGGGGCAGCAAGGGCAGCGTTTTGTTGGCGATGGGCAGCACGAGTCGACTGGGTGAATGTTTCTTGCCTTTGGAGGGAGAGCAGAAGATGCGGAGCAGAACCAGCCCAAAGCTGGCTGAGCTCCCCTCACCACCCAGCGTGCGAGGAACTGCCCGGGGTTCCCAGCCTTTGCCACGCTGTGTCATTCACCGTGGAAAATCGCCGACCGGGGCATGGCAAACCAGAGCTGGGTTGCTCCCGCTTGCGGCAGGTGAGCCCGCTCTAGTACCGCTTCCCGATGGCATCTCAGCTGCCAACGTGCAATGTCTGCTGAATACAGGTTCTGCATCACAAAGGGCGAAATCACGTTCTGCACCACCCCGCCCTGGAAAGAACCAGGGACACTGCCAAATGCTGCTGGCATTGGTCAATCGGTATGGTTACCCGGAACATGAAAAAAATGGAGATGAACAGTAAAGTTACTTTTCATCTGCAATAATGCAATAACTAGACTTTTCTCCCCTGTAATGCCTGGCCTCCTGTACCTACGGGAGCCCAGGCAGGCAGCCAGGTTTTGTCAAAATTGGATATTAGGAAAAATTTCTCCACCAAAAGGGTTGTCAAGCACTGGGACAGGCTGCCCAGAGGGGCGGTTGAGTCACCATCCCTGGCCATCCCTGGAGATAGTTAAAAGATGTGTAGAAGTGGTGCTTAGGGACATGGTTTAGGGGTGGACTTGGCAGTGTTAGGTTTACGGTTGGACTCGATGATCTTACGGGTCTTTTCCAAACTAAATGATTCTATAATTCTATGAAATCGAAGCACCATGAGGGAATACTGTCCCCATCCACAAGCCAGCAGCTGACAGCAAGGGGTGGTGAATGCCTTCCTCTGCTCTGCAGGAAAGATGGAAGCGTCCCCAGCACAGCCCGCAATCGCCAGGCAAAGGTCCCTGGCTGACGTTCCAGTATTTGTTCTTGCCACGAGCGGCGAGGCAGCGTTTAACGGCAGAGGACCTCTTCGTTCGCCAGCTGCTGGTGCTGGAATTACTCCGCGCTGGGCTGAGCGGCGATGCTTGCTGCAGCTATCGGCCATGGGGAGCGTGTTGTAGAGTGTTGCCCAGACACAGACCTCTTGACTCGAACACTCACTAGTAAAGCTGAAGGAGAGAAGCTCGCCCGTATCACCTCGCTCCCAGAGCCACCAAGGTGTCAGCATTCGCTGGTGGTTAGGTGCAGAAGGAGTAAGAGCTAAAGAAAACCCCAGGCCAGCACAGCTAGAAAACACACGAGTGCCCTTGTGTTCTCCAGAGGCTGTAGTCTCCCCCTGTGACCTGCTCAGGACTGACTGCACGGAGGATGCTCGCTTGGGCTGATTCAGGGCCGGCAAAAAGCAGGCAGAGCTCTTGACGGGATCCTGAATCCACCAAGGCGGCGTGGATTGAAACTGCCCACTGAGAAAAACCACCGACCGTCCTAAACGTAGAGAGGACAAACCAGCTTTTGGCTCCCTCATTTAGATATTGGTCCTTAAAATACCTAAAACTTTCGATACAGTTCTCTTTCATACTGAAAAAAAAAAATACTGAGATGGTCTGAAGACATTTTAGGCAGTTAGGGGCATGTAGCCTCTATAAAAAGCAAGCGTAGGCTGAACCCACCTTTTCCAAACCAGCAGATGAGAGCGAGGGAGCATCTGCCTCCGTTGCCTCCGTCTTGCCACCCGGACAGTTGCTGGGTTAATGCCACCAGAGGCTTGGACAGCTTTTCATTCGTGGCAGGGAAGAGGAGATGCCACTCGTAAGTGCAGAGAAGTTACAGCGTTCTTGTAATGGGCGACCGCGTCCGTTCACGCTGTCGTAGGTCAGTTTTTAAGGTCGTGGCAGGAGGAGAAACACGGAAGAAAGAAGATCTACAGCAAAGCCCACTCTCGCACGCTGAGGGGCGACTTCAGTCCGCAGAAAGGATGAAGGAGGGGTGAGCTCCGAGGAAAGGAGGCAAAGCTTGTCTGAAGGAAAGTGGAAACTCATCCTACGGCACTTCAAGTTCTGGTGGATGGACAGTGATGCAGGGAAGGAAACAGGGCACCTGGGAAGAAACCTGAAGATCTCAAGAACATCTCCAGCCTAGGGAGAAGCTCGCCTGGACCAGCCTCCCGCTGTCAGAAGGGAACGGCGCCAAGGAGGAGGCAGGGATGGGCTGGAGGGAGATGCCACAGGCAGCTTTCCGCCTGGGGACATCCCCCCGCGGCTGCTGTTGTGTGGGAGGGCTTTGGCCACCCGGCTCCACAGGACAATGGTCTCCAGCCCTCTGTCCCCGGGCGTCACCCAGGACCATCACAGCGTGGAGACAAGGCGAGCCCCGCGTGGGAGAGGCCAGTCCCTCGTCCTGCGGGGGAGAGGGGAGGCCCCCGACCCCCAGCCCCGG